TATAAAAAATGAACATGAAAAGAGATGAAAGAGAAATGAGAGAAGCAGAGGCATGGCTGGTCAGGAGTACAATTGCTACAATTTCTGGTGGGAAAGACCTGAAACCTGGGCTTGTGGATCTCAAGTATTTGTTCTCTGGCTCTAGAAAGTCATTAGGAAATGAAGATTCTTCTTGTGATTATAGCTTGTTCACATCTTGACATATTATTTCTGGAATCTGACCACCAAACTTCCTGCATAGTGTTTATTTTTTAATGGCTCAGTTCTGTAAACAAAGCTTATGTGATTCTACATGGATTCTTCATTGCAGAACACTGGACAATGAAGCCAGGAGACACAGGAGTCATGAGATTCAGTCACCTAATTGAGATTTACAGAGTACTCAGCAGGCTTGTCCAAAATCTCACAGCCAATACCTCTGCCAAAAACTTGTAAATATTAAATGATTTATGAAGACACTCAGCTGACACTTAGAATGATTTTTCAACTACTTTTCAACCCTCAAAATCTCCATATTGTTTTAAAAGTATTCAAAAGGAGTTCAAAGTAAATAATAATTTATTCCAGATTAAGTATTTATTTGAAATACTTTTGATGGGCTAGTTTAAGTAAATGTATCTTGACCCATTGAATTTTAAATGTCTTACATTAACTAATCTTCACTAATCACATTGGCATTTACTGTAGACCAGGCAGACTACTAAGTGCTTGAAGACACTGACTTAGTAAATCCTCACCACAGCCTATGATTTGGAGTCATTATTTATTAGCCCCATTCTACTGATACTGAGGCATAGGGAGTGACAGTATCTTTGTCCAAGGCCACACTATTTGTGAGCAGTGGCATTGAGATATAAATAAACTCTGGCAGTCTGGGTCTAACCTCTATGTACATAACCATTGTGCCAGCTTGCTGCTTTCCTGTCTAAGCAGCAGTTTGCATCTCAATACATGCATACTTCCTATGTGGCAAAGCCATGGTGGTATCCAGGTTTAATCTGTTAGGGGCAATGCTTACCCTTATCACTGTATATTGCTTCTCACATTATTATACATAAACCTCACTTGGACTTTATTCACCAGCCACAGACAGTTTGAAGAAGATGCAGTCCAACATAGACCACAGGAAGACGATAGGAAAGGGAATTCTAAACAACAGCAACCATAACAAACTCCCAAGGTTTGCTGGAGGCTTTTGGCTGCTCTGGGTCACCCTCAGCTTGTGTCCTGTGCTTTACTCACTCTATCTCAGAAGCGGGGTATGCTTGATAGATCAGGCACCAGGGCAGGGGAAAGAGACCTGTGTTCCAGTCTCACAACATCTTGGGCTGGGCAGAATCTCACCCCTAGGTGGGGGCATTGTGCTCCTCGTTTCTCATACCTGACTCCCTCAGTCCTTGCATCTGTCCCACGAGTGAACAAGATGACTAACTTACAGATGAATTAAGATTCAGAGAGTTGGGTGATTCCATCAAGTTTGCAGAAAAGGATAGTATTCAGTGCAGGTCTGCCTGACTGCAAAATCTCCACATACATTGGCAGAGTTGCCTTGAAAATCACTTTATACTATAAATCTTGGACTCCTTAAACAGAAAACAATGAAATTGTGCTTTAATTACGCCAGGAGTCCTAGGATTCTTTGAAAGTATCTCAGAAGTCATTTTATGAAGGAAGACCAAGCCGATAGGATGCCTGCCCTGATGTGCATGCACACACACACACACACACACACACACCACAGACTCACACGGCTCCTTTTGGCTTTACTGCCTAGGGGAGAATCAGGTTGGTAAAGCTGTGGTAAATCAGGCAGTCAGGGTAGACTTGGGATTCGCCTTGTTGGCTCTGTCCACAAAACATTCAATGCTTTTGTAAGAGAAGGCTGTAGCCCATCTTAACTAATCTAAACACAGTTTGAGAAAGTGTTTTGGTTATGTCTGTGGTGATGGCTTCTTTCCCAGGACCAGCTAGTGAGAAATAGTCTGTTTTCCTCCCTGTGGCTACCATTGCTTGAGTCAAGGCTTCCATTGGTCAGGGATGAAAGTGGTGTAATGTTGATAATCTGTTAAATTCAAACTAACTGTCTTCCTTTCTTTTTTCTATCTTGCTTTATCCTCTTTTTACCCCATCTCCCTCACTGTCCCAAACCAGGTGATAGACTGGAATGGGCTACTCTATGTTGGTAAGAACCTAAGTTCACTTACTCAGTCAAGTTCTACCTTCTCCCTACTGGTTCTTAGACACCTGCTCTCAAGTGGGCATCTCGACAAGTGAAGATCCATGAATCTTCTACCACCTCACAGCCTGTTAAGCTCATATCCCCTTCACTAAAAGCTACTGAAGAAAAGAATTAAGCCAGTCAAAGGCCAATTGTTAATCATGGCCATGATATCACACCTTTCTTAACACACTTATGGAGGTGAACTTTACATGACATCCATTTCACTCATTTTATAGTCACCAATCAAAGATCTTTTGCTAGTACACAGTTGTACAATCATCTCCACACTTAAATTCTGGAATAGTTCCACTCCCCCCACCAAACCCTAGGCATTTGACACCCTAGATATAGGCAGCCACCAATCTACTTCTACTTCTTAGAGATTTGTTGTTTTTTCTTAGTATTTCATATAAATGGAAATATGTGGTATTTTTTGACTGGTTTCTTTCACTTAGCATACTCTTTTTAAGGTTCATCCATATGTTAAGATGTCTTAGTACTTCATTCCTTTTTACATAACACATTTTTGAATGGCAGTTTTATATAGAGGGAAGATCGTGGGTTTCAGAAACAGGCAAATGTGGAAGTGAATCAAAGTTGTACCACTTGTAAGATATGTGGCTGTGGGCATGTTCCTAACCTCACTGAGACTCATTGTAGAATAGGGACACTAATCTCTCTTTCAGAGAAATATTCTGTGAACTACTTGGATAATGCTAGTTAAGCAAGGGCATTTAGTAAAGCTAGTCTCTACAGTCCCCCAAGAACTTACGCTTTTCTTCTCTCTGCTTCACATTTTAAAATAACTCTTACAGGCTGCCTAGAGGCCTTCACATCAAGCTTAAAGTAAGAGTCCGCACCACACTATTGGGAATGGAATTCCATTGAGAGGGATTACACTCTTCATTAATGGAGACCAGATGGTGAGTAGCAATAGGGATTTCCTTCAGCTACATTGCTGTCATTTTCTACAAAGAAGGTTAGGTTATGTTTATCATTTTAAGGAGGAGAAAATCAAATCCTACCCTCGAACATTTTATAGATTTGGGCTTACTTTTGTAAGACTCTAAGAACAACATAGTTTTCCACTAGTTCTTGTGAAAACTGTTCTCAACAGCAACTCTCAGATACCAGAAGCAAGCAACCAAGTAAATAAAACCCACCCAGTTCCATGAGTTTCAACTCTTACCCAATAGTTTTAGACTTTCTCTTTTGTAACTTTTAGAAGAACATGAATTCTGTGTGTAGCAAAATAGATTACACCGAGTTCCTTGTTCATTTTTCCATGCATGTTTTCTAATTAGAACATGCCATCATTTGAGTTCTAAGTTAAAGATATCCTGGAGAGAACTCATCATATCCTCATAGACACTAAGTTTACAAGTGTGCTACCCCTCAGTGTAAGTTTTTCTGTTCTAAATTTGCTTTTCTAAGTAATTGTTTCTCCACAGTCTTTACTTCATACTACTCTCCATCATGCTTCTGATTTTTTTCTTCACTCCTTGTCCTGGATTTACCACAGCTGTGTTTCTCTTCCCAATTCCTGAAAAATTTAATTCCCTTCCACCTCCTAGATTTACTCCTAGCTTCATTTTCTGTTAAGAACAGCCTAACCACTAAAGTAGTAGAAAGGATAGGCCTTAAAATACCTCTACTAAACAAAGTAGGTTTGTAACATATTTCATGTATCTCTCACTCTGAGATTAGCACAGTGTATCTATTTTCAAGCTACAAATTTTTTTTCATTGTATAAAACACCTTTTATCTGATGTAAACTATTGAGAAGTATATAGCTGTCTAATCTTCATACAACAATTATACTTACTATACATAGTAAAGATAGCAGTGATCCTTTCAAACCCGTAAATTAGATCTAATTCCTACAAGTGCTCAATGTACAAAATTATATATCTGACTAAACCTAAACTTCTATCACAATAATGCCGTATTCACACAAACAGAAGAAAAAGCTCTGTCCAGACTGACTCAAATACTTAATAATATATTTGTGTAAGGATTCCTGTTTCCTTACTCTATGTACTCATCTGAAAATAGGAACTGTTAAACTCCATGGCTAACTTTTCTTCCAATTCTGAGAGATTAGGAAGGAGAAGATAGGGTCCCAAGAGAGAGGTTTTCCTTCTCTATATTACCATCTAAAATAGGCTTGGGAATCCATTAGGTGTGATAGAAATAATTGGGAGGTGGGATATAAACAGTGCTTAGGGTTAGTTAGATTAGTGAATTGCTCTAATCCTTAATAAGTTTTTCCTATGTGAAAACTTCCCTTTCACGCACTATCATGAAGAGTGTAATTTATATCCAAGACTTTATTTTAGAGATTTTATTTTAAATGGCATCCTAGGAATTTATCTCATGGTATTAATAGTTTAGTAAATCTGGGATTTAGCAAAGATTTTCTCTCTGCTGCACAGACCTTTTGTGCCTGTGGATGCCTCGCAGCAGATGACAAAACAATCTTGAGGCAGGATGCTTTAATTTCAATTTGATGCCCTAACATTCTGTAGAAACATCTCTAGCAGCAAATTTGAATTATACCATTAACATATTGGAAGTTAGTTTTTTTTTTTTAATCATTTAATGGTTTATGATTTGGTCCATAGTTTGTTTTTAGCTCTCCAGAGAATTCTGATCTCAGGATGGCTGGTTAAAACCCCATATTTGCAATGATCATCACACGGCCTTGGCTACCATAAATATCTGCCAGCATCCAAGCACCACGTGCAAGAATTACCAAATAATGTCAAGCGACTCCTACCCTGAGATGGCAGCGAGTTTTTGGTGTGCCTGCCGCGCCATTTCACAGCCTTTGGTCCTCGTCTTGTGCATTTCCGCCCGGAGTGAGGGACAGCTAACAGCGACATCCCCAATGGAAATGACCAGCTCTCGGTACAGGGCCACTTGCGTGTTGAACTCTTGGACAAGCTGGAAAAGAAGCGAGTTTCTTTCAGGAAACACGTATCAGAAAGTTTTCTATTGCTGTTCGTGACAGGGGCTCACGCTGATTCCCGAGCCACCCCCCAAATCTCTTGCTAAGAAAACTAAAATTGATGAAAGGTGAAGGCACAAAGATGGTCAATCCGCTTTGTCCAGGGGTGTTTTTCATCGGTAGGTCAGCTCATGGCAGCAGTATTTCCAGACCAACTTACCCCGTCCCATACAGACTCAGTTTCTGAAGCACAGGAGCATAGCTGGAGAGCAACATGTCACTGCCAGGTCGCTAGAGAATTAGTGCTGGGAACTCCCGCACAGTTCGCTCCCCGATACACATATTAGGGTATGGATTAGAAGTTGCGCGGGGATAAAGAGCAAGGAGGGTTGTAAAAATCACTCAGCCTGAACCCCGCGGGCTGCAAAGCCTCACCGGAAGACCCGCCACGGCCGCTGCGCTGGAACCTACGTCCCCTCCGCAGCTCTGTGCGCTCTGTTTGGGTTTGTTTGTTACTATCTCCCACAAAGCAACAGCCCCACCTTTCTTTTCTCCCTCCCGGGTGAGCGATCCCGTTCACCGTGTCTGTCGCATCCACAGTTCTCCGGGGGTGGGGAAGAGGCACGACCTACAGCCGCTGACCCCTGGAGCCTTGGCGTGGCACTTCTTTGCAGGGTCATTACGACCTGGGTGTCACGCTGAATCGGGGACTGCAGATTTAAAAATAGTGCATGTGCACGTGATCGGCATGGAGGAGCTGAGGGTGGGGGACTGGCTGGCACTCAAGCAAATGATTAACATACACAATTTCCCTACCCCCGCTCCGGGAGAAAAATAAAGCGCAGATTTATTTATCTTTTTTTAACCTACCATCTTGCAGTCGTCCAGGGCTCTTTGGGTTTTGTAGGTGTTTTCGGAGCCGCTGCCCCTGCGCTCCCAATCCCCGCTCTGCTGGGGAGGCTTGCTGATTTGGAAGATCGAGGAGCGGGTGGACCGGCTGGGGCGCTTTTTGCGCCCATTCGGTGCAGAACTCATGCATACACATCCACCAAGCCAAAGCCACTGGTGCAGTGCGCCCCGGCGCGGGCGGCCCGGTCTTTGCCCTGCGCGCCGCCGCCAAGTAACCGGAGCCGGGACCCGAGGCGCGGCGCTCACAGGCTTGGGGCTGCCTGCACGCGTGGGTAACCTTCAGCTTGAAGGAGAGCCGAGGAAGCGTTGGCTGTGCCGTGCAGCATTGCTTCCACTAGCAGCGAGGAAGGGACTCGTTCAAGTTCTGCTCAGCAGCATTACCGGCCCTGTCCCGGGAGCTGGGCACTGGCGCGGGCTCGCACCACCTTTCCGTTGGCATGAATTGCGACCCGGGGCGAGAAGGAACGCGCCGCCCGGCGGTACCGAGTTTCCATTCAGATGGGGGAGCAGCTTTCAAAGCCTGCGCTTCAAGGGGGGCTGGGGGGGGGGCGGGTGTCGCGCTAGCTCCAGAGTCTTCCGCAGCAGCTCTCGGTTGTCTTCCCCGCCCTCCCCGGTCGCCAGGCCTGGAAGGGCTGGCAGTCCCCGAAGCAGGCAATTGGCTCTAATCGGCTGCCTTGATCCGACGTCTCTACGGGTTAGTCTCTTTGAGGATCCCAAATGAATCCGTGGCGGGACTGGCAGACGCAGGGAATCGGTCTGGCTGACGTTGTTCGCGGCCCAGCACATTGATAGGATAGGAATACTAATGTGATCCGTCCATACAACCCACTTCCCCCTCCACAGTTTATGCACTTATCCAATCAAATCCCCGGAAACATCAATTGCAATATTACTTCATCTGTCTATTATTAGAAATGAAAAAGTGTCATCAGAGTGGAGCACATTGCCACATGCTGGGTCCTAAACACGGATTTCAGACCAACCAGCGTGGGCTTGAGGCCTGCACCATCGCACCATCGGGGACTGTCTGATGCCTTAGATATCATAGGATCCCAAAGGAGGAAGATGTGAGATATTTGCTTCAAAAGGAAGATCTCTGGATAATATGAAAGGAAAGCTGTCTTCATTGAGCTTTTGTTGGTTTTGTTTCTTGTCTTTCTTAGAGGGGTCAGTGTGGCAGAATGCGCAGAGGCTTTCTGACCTCACCTCATTCAGTCCACTGTTAACTAGTCAAAGCTCTTGGTCTGACATTCCAGTCTCAGCTGCCAGTGTTTCCCAGTAGAGACTTGAAGAAGTTAGACTTAAGAGATCTGTTACAAACATCCTCTTTTATCATTGACTGAGTAGCTCAGACACCAATGGTCCAGGAAAATGGAGAGGATGCCTGCATGAATAGAGTCTTGGGCCAGTTGGGTACACCTTTACCACTGACATCCTAAGATACTTCTGGGAGGAAAAGAGGTGGAGTTGGCCTTCAACTTCAGTGTCCTAAGATGCTTGTTCCCATGAATGAGTTATTCAGAGGGTATAATTAAAGAGGTCTACAACAGGGGAATTAAAACCTAATGAAGAACATATTGGCAGTTCCAGGCCAATTTTTTAAAAAGAGCTATGGAGTATAATACACATAGATGGAGAACCAGAAATAGCCACGAAAGCTAACAACCTAAAGAGGATATCGCTAGAATTTTTAATCTTTTTTTGCAAGATAGTAAGCATAATGGAATTATGTGGTAAAAAAAAAAAGACAATATTTGCTTTTTTTGTCCCAGTTCCTGGCAGAGATCTCCTAAAACTTGGAGTTTCCTGATTGATAAAGATGAGGGGGTCATGGTCACCGAAAGACCAAGTCTTAATTATAGGTGTGTAATTTTCAACTGAGCCCTGCCTCACCTCCCTCCATCAGCTTCTAAGAGGGCAAGAAAAGCTGGAGATTGATTCAGTCCTGAATAGTCAATGATTTGAGAAGTCATGGCTATGTAAGGAAACTCCACTGAAAACTGTTAAATGGCAAGGCTCAGGAGCTTCTGAACTGATGAAGCTGTGAGCTGTTGGAAGACATCCCCCAAAACATGGCCCATAGGTGACCTCCTTGGGCTATTCCCGAGTTGTATCCTTCATAATTAATGAATAAGTAGATTACTTTCCTGATTCTGTGAGTCATTCTAGAAAAGTATCGCTTCTGAGGGACAGTTGATGAGAAACCCTTTATTTGAAACCCAGTTTCAAACAGAAGTATGGGTAACCTGGAGACTTAATATTTATAACTAGTTTCTGAAATGAGGATAGTCCTGCTGGGACTTGAGTCCTTCTGCCTGTAGAGTCTGGTGCTAATTCCTAGTAATAAGTGTCAGGATTGAGATGAATTATAGGGAATCTCATTTGTGCTGGAGAAGTAGTGTTGAAAATGATACTGTGTATTTGGTTGAAGAACAAGAGAAACCAACAGATGAATATCTGAGTGGATGGCCAGCTGTACTTGTACATTGCTTCACAAAAAATGGATGTTGGTTTTCCCTAACAAGCAAGGTGTAGGTCTCCGTTTGAGACCTTGATGTGCTGTGATACTGTGGGTCACAGCTGACTTAGACACCAGGGTGAGGGGCTCTTTTGTTAGCTAAGTCTTCCTGATCATAGAAGGTAAAAAGATTAACTCAAAGTCAACTCTGTTCAATTTTCTCTCTACTTATATGAAAGGAGGGGAGGTTGAGGACACATGAGGTGATTTGGGGGCGATTTACTGAGTCCAGAGGACTCATGGACTTTAAGGAAGGATGGATAATATTAATTTGCAAATGAATACTTAACCACCCAATTTAAAGACCTTTAACCCAAGTGTGGCAGAACTTTGGAGAATAAGAGGAAAGGGGTTGCATCTTACATGTGTGTGGTCACAAAGAGAGAGAAGGGAGGATGCTGGAGGACAGCCTTCTGAAAATCTTTTGCCACCCTTAATAGTTTATCCTCTTTTCATGCAAGGAAATAGTGACTGTCACCATTTTGAAGCACATCAAATCCCCTCAGTAGTAGGTTTCTACTCCAGCAACAGCCATCTGGTGTATACTCCCCCTTCTGCCTAGAGACAATTTCAGCAAAATAAAAGGAAAAAAAAAGACAACATAATTTTGCTGGCTTGTTTCTATGCCATTTTTCCTGCAGGAGGTGGGATGTGTTGAGGGTGGAGGTGGAGAATGGGTCAAACACAAATGCCACCTCTGAAGGACAATAGAGATTTGGAGCCTACAGGGAATTAAGTGGAAATTGTCATGTGTAGCTGTCCCTTGGCCTTCCCTGATACATGGTTCAGGCCATTTTCCTAAGGGGAAAAAATAGCATCACTCCCAGTGCTGTCTCTCCCAGGGACAAATGCTGTAATCAGAATAGCAGCAGGCAGGCTCAGTCCCCTCACCTTCCCCCACATGCAAAACAGTATGAATTTACATTCCTGGGGCTGTCTGACTGCCAAGTGGAAGGGGAAAGTGCAGCTGGAAATCCCAACAACCAGGCCACACTTCCTGGTGATCCAGACCCACTCCCCCCACCACTCCAATAACGAGGCCTCTGCAGGTGTGTGTGGCTGTGGCCAAGGCACAGCCTAGATTCATTCTACTACATCCCTCACCTTAGGTTTCATGTTCTCTCTGTTATTTTTAGAGAATTCATTTTGACTTGACAGTTTTGTTTGATTGAAATTATTTTAGTGATGATTACTTTAGAATGAATATGAGCAACTGGTAAGTTTTTTTCAAATTGGTGCTAGAAGGAACCACAGTGAGAGCTAGAGCTGTGCACCCCTACCTGGGGAGGATCTTGTGAAAGGACATAGTGGGAGGCAGGTTTCATCTGGGAGAAAGTTCAAGGAGAGGCAAAATGAAAAACAGAATCTGTGTGAGTCTGTGACAGAAGCAGAAAGCAATCCATTAAGATACTGAGTTCGGAGGGGTTGGGAGGTTTGAACAAGCTTCGGATAGCATCAATAGGTCAAGTTGTTGTGAAGAATTTAGGGAGTAAACTCTTTAATACATGATTATCTCTACCAAGAACAAAAGGAAGTGTGATATACGGAGAATACTTACTCACAAATGTTTCTTGAGTGGTTTTGTTTATGTGTGGTTCCAGGTCTTGTTAGTTGAGATTTATGTAATTTTGGCATCCAGATTTTTTTTTAAAGATTGATTTATTTATGCATACAATGCATAGAGAACTGGGGTACAAGCCAGAGGTCAGAGGCAGTGAGAGGCTTCATCAGAGACAGGGTGGGGAGCAGAACAGGCAGATGGACGAAGTACACTGCTGAGGGGAGCAGCGGGCGGGTCAGGAGAGGTCTGCCACGCCATGTGGATCACTTCGGGGGGGGGGGGCAGGAGGGACTGAACTTGCACTGAAGCAGCTGTGGCTCACTTGCTGTGCTGTATCCTAACCCGTTGCTCCACCAGGGAGGGCCCAGGAATCCAGAATTTTAAACACAAGATTATTAGCTGGTCCTGAAAGGAGCCTATGTAAATGCGGGATCAGGATGTTCAGGCTTTATGACCTACATGTGCAATTCCTACATTGGGTATCTACTCTTTGCAAAGGGGAATCTGCTGCTTTGCCTCATCTCTCTCTCTCTTTTCTCTCTCTTTTTTAAAGATTCATTTATTTATGCACACAAGAGTTGGGGTACAGGTCAGTGGTTTGGGGTGTGAGAGGACTCACCAGAGACAGAATGGAGAGCAGAATAGGCAGATGTACCAAAACACACTGCTGAGAGGAACAGCAGGCAGGTCAGGAGAAGTCTGCTATGCCATGTGGGTCACCTCCCTGGCTTGGGGGTACAGCGTGGATGGAACTCCTGCTCAAGCGGCTGCCCTGGCTTCATAGTTCTGTAACCCATTACACCACCAGGGAGGGCCTGCCTCATATCTTTTTAATTCTTCCTTTTCTGATGATAGCACCTTACATTTCTTGTGAGCAATCAGTTTTCTATCTTTTTGTCACATGGCTCATGGGCATTTGGATCAGGCCTGACCCATCAGAGCTTTATATTCTATGACCACAATAGCTAGACTAACAAGGGGTATGAAATGGAAGTGACACCAGTGAACTTTAGACTTGGTTCGGAAAGGAAGACAGTGAGTGAGAAGTAAATTTTAATTTTTTTGTATGACAAGAATATACATGATTTTTGGTCATATGGCAGAGCAGATACACCAAAAGGACTAATCTGATGTCTACCTTTGACTTCCTACACTTTTGAAGGAGCAGACTTTGGGGGTTGAACCACAATATTCTGATTAACAATCATGCAAGCTAATGGGAGTGGGAGTTAATGTTAGCTCCAAACGGTATATTTCACACTGCTTAGAGCTGCTAGTGCAAAAGAGAAGAATTTGATCCTGATGCTGGTTTGGAAGAGATTAAGGACAAAAAGGGCCACTGTTACTTCTTGATTAATTAGTAAGAGACAAGTGACGCTTTAAAACACTAATTTGGCTGTCACCAGTAGGGTATGTCTGAGTGAAGACATAGTGAAACCATGAGTGAGGCCATGAAAGTAACCTATGTGGAGGAAGGCCTGATGATGCCAGTAAGAGTCAGGGAGTTGAAGAGGATGTTAAGGTGAGGGCATTCCTCATAACAGGACTATTTATAAAACAATTGGAACTTTCTAAGGTAGAAAGCAACAGGTTTTTCAATCTCCCCTGCAAATACCCAAACTCACTGATAATTACCCCTGAAATTTGCTCTAACTCCAGCCCCTATAGCCTTTC